ACAGAAACCATAGGATTGTGTTCATTTCCATTCTCTGTCCCATGGGAAAACCCCACTTGTGTAAGCCTAAGCCTCATTTGAAAACACAAAAAGGAAGAGGGGAATGGACTCAAGGAGATGAATTATATCAATTCAGTTTGATTTAAAAGCAAGTCTTTTAGGTGACTCATGGTAAACATTTGGTGTCATTTGAAACCAAATGTCACATAAAAACTGTTTCACCAGGAATATCTATGAAATGGTATATACAAGTTTATTACACAGTGCAAGATAAATAAATGCCTGCTCTGTATCTGTTCTATATATATGTAATCATGCACTAAAACTGAATTAGTACTGTGCATGAGTTTCTTAAAAATAACCAATTGTTCTTTATGTAAGCTGTGGTAGCTAGATATTCAGTGGACATTAATTTCAAATTCAAAATCAACCTTTTATTGCCATCAACTTTATCTTGATTTAATACCAATAATATGCAAGTAACATTTTCTTTTTCATCAAAACAGAAAGCAATTTACACGACAATTGCAATATCCGCTCTTGTGAATTATGATTCTAGAGATCTGCTCTCATTGAAAATGCTGTTAATCTACCATTAGCCACTCCCACACTCATTGAGGACCATTTTCAGCTTATTGACAAATTATAGGTGTTTGGTATCATTACTGTTTTTTTTTCTTTGCATACAGGCAAGCGATTAATTGAATTAAGGCTTGTTGATAAACATCAAATAGGGTTTAGTGGGTGCTTGACAATTATATTGCAATGGGCAATCTATGATTTTATGATATGAACTTGTTCAGCAGAGAATTTTCACAGATATTGCCTAGTTGTGAAGATATGCTATGATATGTCAGAGATTGAACATGTGTTGCAAACTTGCTTTAAAAGCTGCTCGTTTATTATCATGATCTTTAATAATAATTAATATAAAATATAAATAAAATAAAAAATATACTATAGAAAATGTTCAGACATACAATGCACAGGAAGTAGGATGTTGAGCATAAGGCACAACAAACCCAAGATTGTAAATTGTATATATTTCATGAAGGTTACATTATTTGAAATGCCCACTTTGCTTTATGTGGTAAAAAGCATCTGAAGTGTTCATCACAAAATGAAGGGTTTTGACAAGCTTTTTTTTTTCAAAATATGATTACTTGTAAAGCGAAAATTGCTTCACTTTGAATGTGTTAAACATTGGTTCCATTAGAATCCCTAGGCTAATTTCTACAGGGAGTTAAAGTGAAAGCCAAATAGGAAACATCCCTATTTTCTACAAATCCTATCAAAATAAACAGCTGGGGACAGGTGGGTTTGTAACCCAAATAGCCCCAGGAGCTGTTCTTTGCTATTTGATTTTTAAAGCAAGTGACTTATGGCTGTAAATGCTTTCCTTTTTGCCATATATTAGGATCTATCAGAAACTAGAAATATGAAAATAAGAACTTTATAATTTAGAAAATGGAATAAGGCTCAGTTATTTCATTGAATTTTAGGTTATGCTCACTACAGCATAATGTTAATAATTAGCAGTAATATGTTGATCAAATGCTTAAGATGGAGAGGGTGCTTAAGAAAACCCACATTTTTGATCAGTGTAGGTAAACAAAGCAAAATATTGATAAATAACAATAATAAACACCAGTACACATCTAAGCAAATTTTTTATTTCATATAATATATATAATATAATGTTTATTGTCAAAACAAGCTTTATGTATGAAATGCATTAGGGTTATGATGGAATGCATGTTAACCTCTAGCATATCTATATTAGTAAATACGATAACATATGTTACGGCCTATATTAACCCTGATAGTTTACCAGCTAATGAACTTTCCAGATCTGAGAGGTGGAGATTTTTCAGTATTCTGCATACCAGATCACACAGCCAAACCCTATCTGAGCTTCAGGTTGTTGCAAGTTAGGTTCTGTAGATATACCTGCTGAATACATTACTATCGTTGTTCTTGAAGGTATTCAAAATATCTGCTGACGTAACACAATGTGTTTTTTTTTCTTTTTGTCTTATGTGTTGTAATTAGATGTCTGGTTTAAAACGTGACTGTTGCAAAGCCCCCCCCCCAATTCCCTCTCCATTCCACATACACGTATCACATTTTAAAATGTACATAAGAAAAAAATGCTTTAAATTATAAGCACTATGTATTACTACATTTGTTTACCCCATGAGGTCATAAGAATCTCAAGAGAAGGTAACGTTGTTCTCAAGCAATTAGTGCATTTCTGAAGGGACTAACTTTTTGTCCACTGCTCCAAGGAGTAGCCTGTTACCTGAGGTATATAGTAGCAGGCATGCCACTGGGTGCAGCACTTCAAAGCTTTCTTGGAAGAGTTTTTTCTTGTCCCTTCTTTGCTCTAGGATGTTGTGGTTACTTCATTTGACCTGACTGACTTTCTACAATAATGATAAGACTGAATGTCATCTTCCTGAGATATGATTCTTCAGTAAACATTAGCACCATGCATTATTTTTAAAAAATTCATGAGCAGCTATTTGAGACAGTATCAGTATCCCTTTTTAGTGACAGAAAAATTTATTGTCAGTTGCATCTTCATTAGTGGAATGTTTCTTCATTACTGTGCAACAACCTGGCTTTTATATTTATAATTTATTGGCAGTAATCTAGAAAGGCAGTGTATTTTGCTTGAAATAGATGGAAATAAAGATTTAGTTAAATAAGTTTCTATGAAAAAAAATAAAAAAAATGGCTATAGATAGACTGAAGAGGTAACAATATGGATATCAACTATGAGAGTCATCTGAGAGCCTTGTGACTAAGCATAAGTTGAGTGAGATTTCACAAGGGTGGAGCAATGATTATATAAATGATTAACATCAGAATTTATATTGTTTTTTCTTTAGTTTTGTAGAATTCCAGTCTATAGCACAACAGTCTAGTGTCTCAATTGACCATGTTTTGTGTGTCACTTTTATAACGCTTTTTAAGACTACATTTCTAGCAATGAAAAGTTAATCCTAGGGTACCTCATTCATATTTTCATACATTTTTGAGACTGGTTTGATTCCCATTGCAATATTTTAATTTTTGCGCCTTTGACTCCTGCTGAGCATACCAGACGATGTCTTAAAGATTAAGTAGTTGACTCCAGCAAAAACACATTAACAGTTCCTCGGTTTAAGCCAAAAACAAGACCAAATAATAAACAGGTACCACTTAATGGAAAGAAATCCTCTAACCTATGGCATACACATATAAAAAATTAGAATTTTCATTTGTGTATTGCAACACAAATCCTTTATGATGCGCTTGCGTGTACACAATAATGGAAACTGTGAATGTTTTATTAAGAGACTCTATAATAAATCTTTTTTGATTTTCTCTGAATGTGTGACAGCCCATCTATTTGGAAAATGGTGAAATGTTAATTAAAAAAGCATTGCTTTGCAGTAGGAGACAATCTGTCAGAATATCTATTTCAAATAGACTTTTTGAAAGTATTGAAAGAAATCAGCATGAGAAACGATAAGGTGCCCAGATGGATGATGAAAGCACTTAGCTATGTGTCATTTTCAAAGTGTTCTCAGAGGATTTATTGAAGGAGAACAGCAAGACCACAAGAAAACTGATGAATTGATGTTTCTTGGTGCATGTGTTGATAGTAGGTGAAGACTACTAGGAATTTATTTAGTTCCATTTCCTGAGTTTTCTACAATCAGAAGATGGGTTATTTACTCCTAACCAATTTCACACTGATACAAGAAAAAATCAGTTATTGTTTTTCTAGTACAGACTTATTTCAGATTTTATAAGTTATTATGAAAGCTGATTTTTTTTTTACTTTATGTCAAACTTGAGCTCAGTGCCCCATGCAAAAACCATTTAAATGTTTTTTGATTTTAGTAGGCTCATTTATCTTAGCTGTTTTTAAGTCATTATTTTTCAAGTTTCAAGGTACAGTAGCAAGCTTAATATTATAAATAAAGAACATTAGATATATTGCTGTTTTTATCAGTGAAATAAAACAGTAGGGGTTACTAACTATACACTTAGACTGGGTTCCTGAAAATTTAGATGGATCCATCTGGATCGACCTAACTCCCTGGGGGTTCGCACAAAATTGTTGTCAGCTTCCGGGAGCTTAGCTTGCATAAAAGTTAATTACCCCCTTACAGCTTTTAGTTGGCAGTCAAACATTTAAGCCGGTTAAGCTGACAACAATCTAGTCAGACTTCCCAGGGGGATAGATTGATCTAAATATCTGTGGGAATAGCCTCTAAGTTAAGAATACAAGCCACCTGTTTACACCTGCACATGTAATCAAGATGTTACGAAATACTTGCTCATGTTTATGTGGGTACATGGTGTAGGTAATGAGTTACCTAATTCTGATACAACCACACTGAGGGAGTTGCAAACCTGAGGTAGAGTTCAGACATGAGCTTTTTCTATGGAAACACAAAATTCCACATTTTTTAATTACACCTAGGCTCATGTCTATAAGTTGGACTAAACAAAATAGAGTTGATTTGATTTGTTTTAGCCAAATTTAAACCATTTGGAGAAAAAAATGATGAAAAAGTTGCGATTTGGCTGAGCGAAAAAAAAATTGCTGGCGCTACCCCAACACATCAACATTGTCAGACAAGGGGTATAGTCACAGCTGCTTTGTTAATTAGACCCCCCCCCCCCCCCCCCCAACAAGTTGTGCCTGCCAGCCTGGACAAAATTACCAAATTTGGTAATGTTCATGATGCTAGTGAGGAATTTTGGACAATTATGGCTGTGCAAAATGCAGTTTGATTTTCCTTTTAATAGATTCCATGAATCATTGTGTGAAGCAAATCCTTCAAAAAACTGATGATGAATTAAAATTGATAAAAAGGAAGAAATGAGGAGTAAGATTGCTGGGCTAACAAATTTATCAACACTATTGTTTGATTTTGACTTAATTTATTCATAATTGATATTTTATATAATTTTTGAATATATAAAACTGTATATTTCAGGCTGATTTTCCTCTCCGTGTGTTATGAGCTGATAGATTTCGACCAACCAACTGACTGTACAGGGGATCTGGGAAAAGGTCTACTCGGCTACATCGCCATTTTAGTTTTTAGCGTGGCATTTGAAATCCTGATAGCATGGGTCAGCACCAGAGGCACAATACTGGATGTCAGACCCAGGTCCATCATGCCGTACCTGCTATATGCCAGGCTGGGTAAGGTTAAGTCAGAGTTAGACTGGGTTCCCACAGATTTAGATCGATCCATCTGGATCGACCTAACTCCCTGGGCGTTCACATTAAATTGCTGTCAGGCGAGCGCGCACGAAAGTTAATTACCGCCTTATAGCTTTTAGTAGGCAGGACAGACATTTAAGCCAGCTAAGCTGACAGCTATCTAGTGAGACTCCCCCTGGGGATAGATCGATCTAAAAATCTATGGGAATGCAGTCTAAGGGGATGGGAGGATTAGTCATATAAATGTTATAAACATTATAATGATGAAAAGATCAAGCCTGTGATTTTTTCATACTATCAGCAAATTGTATTTATGCATTTTAAAATGTTTCAAGAAAGGTAGTGCAGTAATATTTAAGTCTGTTTAGTCATTTATCAAGATCTTGTGTGCCTGTAAATTTTTGAAGTCTGACTCACTTTAGTATACATTTCAACTTCAGTTATGCTGAAAGTACAAGAAAAATCAAATCATGCATCAGTTAAGGGTATCAAGATTGAGAATTTGCAATTTATTTATATACAGTAAAGGTATTTTGCCAAAGCAGTATTATAGTTGGAACATGTCTGGTCTATATTTCAGTTGTTCTGCTGGCAGAACTTGGCTGGATAATCTACGGCGCCATCTGGATGGCCAGCAGCTACGACACCTGCCCAGACTCCGCAACCAAGCAAGCAAGTCTTGGTAAGAGCTCTGTCAATATAATATCAGAAAATTTACACACAACACCTACACAAAAAAGAGCGTGCTGTGAAATGTTCATGTAGGGAAGCTCTGATTGATAAAAGGATCTACAGAGACTACAGTATTACATAAGAGAAATTTATTTTCCTGGGGTTTATCAGCTTTGGAATTTAAATGAGCAAAGAAATTGTGTGGAAGTGTTACCACTGCCTGATATGGTGTATGTTTGTAGAGCAAGGGGAATGTTTTATGGATGTTTTGTTAAAAGGAAGGGTTAAATTATTCCCTACTTAACGTGCTCACAGTTTCCTTTATGAAATAAGGGTATGCTGGTGCAGGAAGATAGGAGTAAATTACCCTAAATGTAATGCTATTTTTTAATTGTAATGGTATGTTTATGATTGTTGTTTTGATAAATACCTTTTTTACTGTTTCTCGATGTTTGCTGAAAATAGAAAAAAAATCAGTGCATGTGATCGGAAATTTTTTTCTTGCTGTATTTTTCAAGAAATTTGTGTGTGTGTTCGAAGATATATGAGAAAATTGAATTTTGAGGGTCTGGTTTGGTTAATCCTCTGTGTGTTGGGG